ATTCGTGAGTTGAAATTTTCACCTAAAAAGGGAATATCAAACCGGGCGTTTAAATATGTATTCCGTTATTAAAACAAATTCTTGACTTATCTCTCTGCGATGTTGAATTGGGTTTCGAATTATCAGGAAGATAAATATTTAGTCGAAACCAAAATATGAGCCTTGTAATTTGACGCCAACGAAGCTGAAATTTGAATTTGGAGTCTAAAATATGATATGTTTTTGTACCATTTTATTAGAATCCTATAATATTTTAATAATTGTAAATTTAATTATATATTTAGATATACGACATGAAAATAAACAGCAGCAAAATTAGGGAGAAAACTGAATTGTTTCCCTTTGTCCTCTCGGCTTTTATTTTTGTTTTTCGAAATTGTGGTGGACGATATTTGAACCTAAAGTAGGTACCACCAAAATTTTAAAATGAGTTAGACACATTTTAACTCGATAAAATAATGTTGTAGTAATAAATAAAGAATGCTAACAGTGTAATAATCTGAACATTCTGAAATGTAAGGGGTAATAACTGTACACCAACTACTCCGTAAAGTTTCAAAAATAGTTATCTACTCACATAACTGCTTATTTACGTTCTTTTTCTAACGAAAATTATAAGCTGGTGAACTTATCTGCTAGGTTATAAATGAGGTGCTGGATAAATGTGAGAATATTAAATTGCGAAGAAGCGTCACATGTGTGCCACATTTATCGTCCATGAAAAGATCATTTTCTTTATAGAAAAATTTCAGCAATCAATAAATTTGTATACCTAATATCAATAAAAAGAAATTATAAAATGTTAAAAATAACAGTTTGTCCTTATATCCTTGTACGCTTTATTAATTAAATAAAAACACTTAACCATCATTATCCTAAATCGTAAAATACTTCATAGCTATTATATTTTAGTAATAAAATAATAAAACAACAAACACGCATGTATAAGTATACCAACGTATACCACAGAGCTTTTAAAGTATTTTCGAAACCCCATATTTTAGAAATTTTCGCGTGCACTCGGTTCGAAAACGATAGGTTATACTAAAATAAATTGAAACGAGTTGCACCGAAACGTTTCATTAAATACGTAACTTTAGTGTAGGATATAGTTTCTCTGTACTTGCATCAGTTCGATTCGAAAATACAATTCTGCGAAGTTAGAGACTGTATCATGTTTGCATGAAATCTGCCCATAACTTTTAATGGCTGGATGATTTGTATTTTACCGGAGCTGTTTAAATGATCTCGCTCAGGATGAAATGTTTATTCGGAGTAATATACTTGAATAAATGTTTAATTTAGCGATTATGAAGTTGGAAATAATAATTATAAAGTTTCGGGATTAACAAGGCGTTCTGTTTTTCACATATTACACAAAACTCATACCAATCTTTTGCATAACTTATAAAAGTATATAAGTAGTTTACCAAGGAAAACTATAATATCTAGAAAAATAAAAATTTTCCCAGCGTGCTAAAAAACTACTCGTGAGCTACATCTGAAATTTTCCATTTGTATGCGAGTGTAACTCCCAATTGTCCTTATCATAATGAAACGTATAAAACCAAAAAATCCAGGCGTTTTTGTGTCCTAGAGGAACTACTTGATGTTCCTCCAAGTTTTCCCATTATACTTCGTTAGGTAAATGTGCAGCAAATTGTCATATTTCAACTCGAGTGTACGTTCACGTCGACCGCGTACAATGGAAATGGAAGGTGGAAATTTATTTGTCACACTAAGTACAATAATAAAAATAACAATAATAATAAAAACACCTAATAGTGTCAGATAATTTCTCCAACAATAAAATATAACACTAATTAAACTTGATATGAATTATTCGATTATTTAGCAACAGGAAAACTGAGATTTAAGAAATATTAAAAAATTATAAATCAATGGATATAATAAAAATCCACTTAAAAATGTAAACTGCTAACGATCTTCGCTAACGGTTCGCACTTAAATGGACATAAATTGCGTTAATGTTACTACAAATCACATAATTTACTCCTAATAGTTGCCTGTCGCGCTATTCCAGTGTGGGTTCCAAATGCTGGTCGTGATTCCTGCGGGACTGCTTAATTGGTTATTTGTAGTGTAACCCTGAGTTATGCTGCGTCGACTGTAACAACAAAGAAAAGGCATTACTGGACTGTGAAAAATTTGTTACAAAAAGTTAATGGTATCCACTCTGGCTCTTTTTAAACCAATGTTTGGCAGACTGCAGACTATAGGTGCTACTCATTTTTACACTTTATTTTATATTATATCTACACCTTATTATAATTTTCTTCATAATTCGAAGTACTGTTTGACGTCAGAAAAATTACCCTTATATTCATCGATGTTCCGTATTTACTTTTAACAAATCATTAGATATTTACTTAGTCGAATTTTCTCGTTTTCTGTTTGCTTCCATCGTATATGGGGGGTGCATTTTCGATGAATAGAAACATTGGAAATAAACAACGGAAGCATCGGTCCCTCAGTTCATACATGTTTTATGAAGAACCACAAATCACAGACAGATTGTCTTCGTGGAATAAATTTAGAATTAGCCCAATATCGCATCTGGGCTACAGCATTTTACTTCATGTATACTTGAAATCTTTTATATTGCTATTGATCCATTGGTTAAGAAGGAATCATAAATAAACAAAAATAACGTAATTTCTACATGATATCATTCTATCCCTAAGTATATTGCGCCATAAGAATAAATTTGTGCGGATGTAAATCCGAAAACAAAATTATTAATTTAGTTTATGGCATCTAATCAAAAATTTTCAGCTTTATGATTCAGAAATAACTTCCAGGAACCGACCGAATTAACCTTTAATTAAAGAGAATATTTTACATGGATTTAATTTCCCGGCTCTCTTTTCCCATTGCGTAAAGCGAATGTAAAAGCTTTTAAATTGTCAAATTTAATACTTGCTTTCTTTTTGATACTCTGATATTTCCATTTACTTCCCAAATTGTTTATTAGGTCGAATTCAACGTAATATCGCATCCGTGCGGGAGTTGGAGATGAGTTCGAACTCGTAAAGGGCATGCTCTTATTCGCCCAATTTGCTCCCTTTTTGGGCTGATAATTGTTTCTAATTTCCATCGTCCATTCCGTTACCGTTACACCCACACTAACCGCGGATATTGGATTTTACAAATGGATTTGCCCACGTATTCGATAAAAACTTTTAATGGAATATTATTAAACACATTAATACCTACAACTTTTTATGCATAAAATTCAGTTATAATTTATTTAAAATATAAACTGATTTGCGTTTGAAATGTTGATGTAATTAAATGTGTGTAAATGGAAAGGGATTTTAATGAGCATTCATTGTAAAATTAATTTTAAGGATAATTAAAATCGAATTTTAGAAACGAATTAAACAATTGCTCTGTTCAAATGTAATGAGCACCTAATTTTAATTATGCGAAACATCTTTAGCACTGTTTCCGTATTATTTTATGAAATTTCAACCAACAGATTGTTTATTCGTTTTCATTTTGATGAAAATATTTCCGCGACGAACGCTCTAATACAAATTAAAATCGCTTTTATAAGATGCAGAATAAATTAAATCTAAACCATTGATATCGCATCTCATATATTTTCTTTTGATAGCTTTTGTCTCTCATTTTCATAACGAGGGAATATTAATTTTCTCCTGAAATGCTTTGAGAATAAATTAAGGACAATGACATCCATGGTTATTGATTAGGATTGGAATATGAATTAGGTATGTTTAGATGAGTAGGAGAAGTAAAATATGAAAAACATTAGAAAAGCAATTCGTTGCTGACTAATTAAGAAAAAATTGTATCTATTAGTGACGTCTTCTATTATTCATCTAAGACTTAATTTTGGAGATATATTAGGAGTTTAATCAAAAGTTGTATATTGAAGAACCAACAATGTGTCCATTAGCATCAATAAATGATGAATAAATAACGAAATAAAAATATATTTATAGAAATGAATGATGATTTACGAGAATTATCCGTAGATAGAAATTTTTGTAATATTATTTCAGCAATGATTAAAAAATAAATAGCTATGCTGCTTTGAATTAAACGTTTTGTTCATAGAGGTAATTAATACATCAAACAGGAATTTGCATAAAAAAATATGCAAACTTGTGAAACATGAAATGTACCTACATTAAAATTATATAGGTTTGTGTGTTAATCGTTTATCTTTTTGACAAGTTATCTATTTATGTAGGTATTAATCACGTTTCATTTGTAAATATCGTATACAGGCATCGCGATATTTTATCGAATGTATGTAGGTACAATATTGCATCGAAAATGCAAATTTATTTTTGGTTACGTACTATTCTGCAATAATAATGATGATATTAACATTTGTTCAATATCTGTTTTATAAAAAATTAGTCTAATTAGTAAAGTATAACAAAAATAAACCTAATGTGTCAAAAGAAAAATTATAATTGTTGAAGAAGATGTTTTGTATTAACAAATTTTCAATGAAGACATTTCAATGCGTCAACGAATTATCTTCCGTACCTACTTGAACAATGAAAAGCCATTCAAACGTGCACTTTTGCCAGACAATAGCTATTTAATCATCTAATATTTTAAAAGAGGCGAAAATTCCCAAACGGGAATTTCTCGAACTAATCGACTCCGCCACCCCTAACCAAATACTTCATTAATTTCTGTCTACGCTATAATATACTTGAATGCAATGGAGTTTCTGTTATCATAATTTCTCTCTCACTGTGTTTAATGAACCATTCACGTAACCTCTAAACCGTTTTAATTATCAATAATTATCTGGGAAGTTAAATGTTGCGATGAAATTGCGGCTGTTGAGTGAGGTACCAGAAAAATTCGTGTTATGTTTCTGACAGGTTGAGCAGGGATAGAGGAATAATTGGAGTATTTAAAATTATTTCGTCGAGCGTTTTGCTTAAAGCGAAAGTTGCTACATTTGTTCAACCTTAATTATTTTATTTCAGATTTGAATCCAATGTGACGATTTGCAAACGTACTTTCGCAAATGCAGAGATATGGATGTCGGAGCCAATCGCTTGAATAATGAACTTTACAACTTCCGCACACTCGCTACTTTATTTCTGGCGCCTGGAGCGGTTTATTCTGCTTCCTCGCAAGGTAAGTACAGCGTGAAATTCTGCAAATTCAGCTGGATTTTTAAACTATTATGCGTTTTAATAGAGCTGTACAGGGTGTTAGTTAATTGAATGCCGATACTTCAGGATGTGAATATTTAGATGATTAGAGGATAAGAAGAAAAGTTTATTTCAACATATGTCCTAAACCATAAGATTTTATTAAATTTTTATCAGTGACGTCCGTACTGGGTTTGAACCGAATATGTTTGAAGAAAAAGTGGTGCGCCTTTTTCTAAAAACCAAAATTATTTTTAAAATCCTCATTTATTTTGGAGCAAATTCGGTCAGAAGACTTCGGTCAGAAGTTCATTTGAGACTGCTTTTGATATTTTTTTGAAATTTGGTAGGCGCCCACCATGCATGGAAACCCTTTTTTTGGGGGACAAACATTAATTATCTACTATTACCAGTGACGTCCACGTCCGAAATTTCAAAAAAATATCTGGAGTATTAAAAAAATTATGATAGAAAAGTTATTTTTTTTCTAAAACTGTAACACCCTGTAGCTCGAAAACTAAGAGGTTTAGGACACTTTTTTTATAAACTTTTCTTCTTAACATCCACCAAATATTGACATCCTGAATTATCGGCATTCGATTAATTAACACCCTATACATTCATAGCTTAATCAACTTTATTGATAATGTCCAATTGTATTAACCCCCAAAAGTAGGTTGTATATACATTTTAGAATCCGCGAATAAGGTTTGCAATATAAGACGATCCAATTCAATTCATCAATGGCAACATTAGTGACCAAACTAATCAAACGATCTATCCAGTAGCTCTTAGAATGTATCAGTATAGCAAATACAATTGTCTAATAAACTTCAGTTAAGTGGTTCCAAGGAGTAAGCGGAAGCCCTGCGAGTACAATAGAATCGATTATTATCGTTTATCTATCGTCTGAAACGTTCCTAATTAGTTTGTATCCCTTTAAAGTCCATTTTCCTTCTCCGGTGTAATGTCGAGAGAGCCAGCGTCGTCGACAAGGAAAATTGTTGCTTCTTGGCTAATTAACCTCGAATTAGTGTTGTTTGGAATTTCCACTTCTCCACGTCTTGAAATGAATTAGAAGTCTCAGCAATTGCGGTCGAATCTAGCGTTGAATCTTTTTGTGAAGCACCTCCCTACTTAATCGATCGAGCACCGTCAGTTATACTAATTGACTATTTTTAAACGAAAAAACGCCAAAAAATTTGGGTATCTGACCGACGCTGCTGCTCTTGTCCCCTTATCGTCCATTACGAATCTGACATTACGCCCGAAGATAAAGGTCGACAGCAGAATTTCGGGTGAGTTTAGATTCCGCCACTATTGGTTTGTCATTGGATTAAAGCAACCCCGGGCCTTTAGCTTCCTAGATAAATTAAACTGACGAAATTTGCATACCGACTTTGCAACTCATCCGCAAAGCATATTATTCCACTATTAGTCGAGGCGACATATTGAAGGATATCGATAAGAATATCCGATATTATGTAAGCTGGTATACATTTACATTTATATGAAAATATCGGTATGTTTATAATTTGCATATTAGAAAACTTTAACGTGCAGCATTGCTGTGTGCGGACACGAGAGGAAGTAATAGAGGCAATTTCCATCCAACCGGAATATTACACACATCGTTATTCACAAAAAAAGAAATGCTTAATGCAGGAGAAGATTAGTCTGTACAAAAATGTAGTAAAAATAAGGGTAAAATATGTTGAATCGCCAACAGAATTGTTAGTTATTGTATGTATTTTATATTTTAGTATATTAATGCTTTTATTAGATTAAAATAATATGCCAACAAACTATTAAAAAGTTGCAGATAAAACAGTTCCTAAACAATATAAATTAATCATTCCGCCCGAATAATCGGATCAACACATCTCGGTTCTACGTGTTGTTTCCCTTTAAACAAATACTTACAGTGTGTGTGCAAGGGAAACTGTGAACTGTTGACATTAAAGTTTTCCCGAATTGAAAAATAACACAGAAAAAGAATTACTCCGTTAAAGAATGCAAACAAATAGCTGGAAACAATGTTAAGGTGATAACGTACGTTTGTCTCCTTTTTCGCTTTGATGCTGCATTTTCCGACGCAAGACGAGAATTCTTGCCAAGGGTTCCGTAATGAAAGGACGTCTCTCATTAAGCTGAGTGCAGCTGGCAATCAGCAAATAATGTTAACCAAAAGGTTGCTTCCTTCTGAAATATTCTTCGTCAAAGTTCATAAAACGGTTTATAATGAATGCTAACAACATAGAGGAAAACGATGTTTTGAGTCTAATAAACAATAATAGGTAGTATTGAAGATTCTGCAGTGATGCTAAAACACTTATAATGATGTTGTAGACGACTTTAATGATGTGGAAATTGTAGTGGATTCAACTGAACGAATTTATAGAGCTAATCAGAATATACCTAGATATAAAGGATATTAAAAAGCCATCGAATGTTAGAAATTTACTAGAATCTAGTACTTAATTGTGCATCAAGACAATCCTTTGTGTTCATGTTTCGTTGAAAGTGCAGTTAGAACCTTTCGTTTTGTTCTTTACATTTTTCGCATACTATTACATTGTAGATTGTTACTTTTAATCCGTATTCACTCTGCTGGTGTGAATACTTGGAAACAAGTTGAAAGGTCCTTTGATGTTACGAAAAAAAAAAAACGTTTTTCAACTAGTCAAGTTGTGCGTGTACCGGATGAAACGGTCATTCGCGATGACGAATAAAAGATAACGAATAATTTCAGCGAAATTCATTGAATTTTCATTTTATGCAAATCGCGGCTAGTTAAATTCCTCTTCGAAAATATTTTCAGCTAAACAAGATTTTTAGCTTCTGGAATATAGGCTACTGAATATTTATGCGTAGTGTTCATTTGAAAATAATTTAATGTTTGGGTCACGCGGCGAAAATTCAAATCTAAAAGTGTTTAATTGAAGGAAGTAATTAATTTCACGCTTGTTAAATGAATATTACAAATAAAAAATTAATTGGAACAAATTGCGTTCCACTCTGTTTCCACCTCAATTCATCGAAACTTAATTGAGTGAAAATTGAATTCTTACACTTCTTCTTTGCGATTTTCGGAAAATTTCCAGTACAATTACTTTCACAAAAGCCTTTAAATATATTTTTAAATTACATTTCAGTAAAAACAGGTCTTAATTTGCACTAATTACAATCAAAGTGACTGTATACAGAATTAATATAGTTTTTTGTGTACATCCTCTTCCAAATTGAGAAATGGTCTTAACTTCATTTCTGTTACAGTGATGTTTGAATTTCCCCGACCGGCCAATGAGACCTCCTTAGAGACCCTCTACAGGGTGAATTGCACGAACCTAACATCATGTTTCGACGAAGTTCCTTACGAGAATTTAACCGTCGCAAACGAAACCGTTATCGACGGCAGCGGCACGGAACCGTTAGCCGATTTGATTCTCATGGGAGTCCTGTCGGTCGTTCTGGGCCTTATGATTCTAGTTACCGTTATAGGTAAGTGGCAATTTATTATTCAAGAGATTATTATTTCCTTGCAATTTTGAGCCGGTAAGCGGTAAAAGGTTAGAAGTAAAAGCGGGAGTTTTCTAGTGAAAATACGAAGTGTGCAACGACAGGAAAATATCCTGCTGAGGTGGAGTTATTGGATAATGCACTTAATAGCGTTTACTTTTCTATCTTGCAGTTGAACGAATTATTCGTGTACCTACTCAATGTTTTTCGTCTTCTAAAAGAAGTTTATGTATTACGTTGGAAATTATTACAGGGATTATTTCCGTCATTTTTAAAAATTGTTTTGAAATTTTGAAAAATAATTAGTTTTATAAACTCTAAATTTTACTACAATTTAATTGCAACAAAATTGTCTAAAATCTATGTAACAAGACAGATGAATTTTTGCACGAATGAAAGTGATGGATGAGAAAAAAAGATAAGGAAAATAAAAGAAAATAATGATGTAAATAGAACAGACGAGCGGAAATAATAGATGGTACGACATTTAAAAGAAACAATGAATTCTGGATGAATATAATAGTAAATGAATAGTATATAAATTAAATTATTTTCAGGATAAAAAGTGGCTGCACGATCGGAGCCACCTCGTTAAATAACTTCTGTGAAAATTAATTGCAAATTATCAATAATGTTTGTTTAGTTTGGCATTATTATACATTATTTAGCCTCTCCAATATTGAAATAGAGTTATAAGAGATAATTTTATATATTTGTTGTTTATTTAATTCACCAACCACCATTATTGTTTGCATTCGTGCGGTTTATAATGGTAATTAGAGCACATGCATAATATAAACCGTTACCTATATTAAAGCAGTGATGTTGTAGTTCCGTTTCAGAGATAACTAATACATACTGAATTGCAATTAGAATAATTTGTAGATATCAGTAACAAGAATCAATCACGTAGTTGTACTAATTATATATCTACCAATACACAAAGGCAAATTAGGCTTATTAGTAGGTAAAATTAATCAAGTTTTGAACGAAATTATCCTGTAAAATTATAAATTTGTACTGATACTGAATTTTTTGAATATTGTACGAACGGTGTATATCAATTAATTTTGTTAAATAATACTGGCAATATTTAAAAAGTATCTACTTCTCAAAATATAATTAAAATAAGTAGCATTAATAAATAGAAATAAATTCAATGTTCGAATAGTTCAGTTTCTCAATAATGGACACGTTCAGTTTTGACCTAGCAGCCTTTATTGTTTTGTTCCATCAGGATATTTCGGACTAGAACTTTCAACAAAGGATAGTTGCAGATAAGGCCGGACGTTTGATGGCATGACATTTTGTGCGAGAGATTCGAATAAGACATTTGTACATTTCACATCTAAATAATTTTATTCTGTTCATCGGGATAAAAGACGTGATAACTTGTAAGCTTATGATAATAGTGCATGTCTATAATTTTGTATTGCATTTCTCTATCTATTTTAATTTAACAAATAAAGGTTTAAGTGATAGGGTTTAAAAATAATTCTTGGGAGATCTAAATCTCGAAAACTTTAGGGTCAGCAAACGGAAACTGCAATGACAGTTTACAAGTTTGTGGTCAAGAATAAATATTGTCAGATGTCGGAAATTTATACACTAAGCATACGAATGTATAAATGGGCTCTGCAAACAAATAGGCAGCACATTGTATGCTTAGCTTATTCAAGATATATTGATTAACACATTGTTATATTGACAAACACATTGATTAATGTTACAAAGTAATTATTGTAATATTCGACGTTATTAAGTTTGATACACCACTGAATTCTTTGTCGATTCCTATTTAACATACAAATTTAATCACCTACATTTATGTAAAATTGGATTAAACATTTAGCACGACAATGCATTCGAATTCATCATCATATTGTCGATTGTTTGCTTTTGAATTAATATGTCTGGAGTGCTCTCTTCCAAATTACCTACCGCTGTGAATACGTTTCCTGGTTTTACAAAGGCAAATACTGGCAATACCAAAAAGACTAAAGCTAAAACACAAGTAAATATAACTTTCATGAAATAACCGTCTCTGTGTCCAATCACATTAGTATCGAACACGCTCTCATTGTACATTAATACTTACGAAAATGCATCGAACAAGACGATGTCTATTGTACTTATTGACTTTAGCAGAGAGATCGACTTTGAATGCCTTATGTACAACAAATAAAAATTGTTATTATTTGTTCCTATTCCATCGGATGTTTATTTTAATGTTATTAAATTTTAAGTAAACTTCTAAATTGAATTCAATCCGGCACACAACAATTTTGTGTAAAAGCTTTCGTTGTCTGCTCTTTGAAGGTATTTAGTAAGGACACCAAACCGATACTTCATAAATCATTCCGAGGGTTTTAATTAATAAAACATCCCTGTATAATCACACGTACGGGTGACGGCAACCGCGTGTGTATTTCATTCCATCATTCCATTTCAACTGTTTCACGGTTCCCGTGTCTTTTCGACGGTATTTGCATTAATTTACGCCATTACCTTTCGGCAATAATGGGATTTAAGCCAGTCGCGAGCTTACATCCATCAACGTAAGGCGTTCGAAGTGCGAGCCCGACGGGGTCGGCGGGATTAAAGTAAATGGGGGAAAGGTTTCGCTCCCCGTTCCCGGTTTAAAGAAAAAAACTTTTGCGCGTGATATTCGCCACGCGTCGCTTTGTGTGTTTCGCTTGCGAAGGTGTCGCCGGCGAAAGTTGCCGAGAAATCCGATTTGGTTTATCCCAATTTGAACGTGATTTATTTTGTAAGCTCTAAAGGTGGTATACCTGAAAACTTGCGGGAGATTTCAGGATCGTTTCGAGAGTAGGTTCTAAAAACGGTGAAATTTTAATTAAGCTGATAAATATTTCCTCTGCTGAAAGGAACAGTAACTGAGCCCTAATTTTGCATTATCGGCTTACACGGCTTTTAAACTTTGTATAAAATTAAATAAAACTTTAACTGTTAGAGACAATTACACTAAAAATCGTTGAAAATAAATCTATAGAAGAGCTTGATAGGTACTAAAGTGCATCACAATAAAATAGGATACAATTGATACAATTGATACCATAATAGTTTTTAACAAATACATATACCTACACTATGTCTATGTCCACATGAAGGTAAATTTACACTTTTCATTACACTTACAAGACTTATAAAAGACAAGGTTTATTTACGATACAATGAATAATGCTGAACAATAAAGATGTCATTATTAGACGGCTGATTTGTATCTAAATGAATGCCTATTTATTGCAAAATATGATGTAAATATTTCCGCATAGCAAGCGCTTATGTTATAAGATATTGCATGTATACCTTTGTAAAACATCTGTAAACTCTTCTGAGAATGATAAAAAACTGAAAAAGATCCTTAACAAAGCTTTCTGCGGGTAACAACTTTGAATGTATTGCTGGTTCGAGTTTTCCTAACATGGAGTCAAAAACGAACCGAACACCGCATGTATTATATTTTTATAACGAGGGTTGAAAAATAATAAAAAAATCCAACAAGTGAATTGTGGATCTTCAGGTAACAATACCTACTAACGTGTAGAAAAAAATAACACTAAATTAATTACAACTTTTTGGCAAGCATAATTTAAATCCCTTGCCCCCCCAAGCATTATTTCATATAATAAAATGACAGTAACCGAGCTACTAATTACTTTACAGTAGCGATTTCGAAGTAAAAGCCGTTTTTTGAATCAAGAATTAGTGGAAGAGTTCTCCACGAAATTATCTCTATTAATTAATTAACGTAATAGAGGTCTTGCGAACATTTGTTTTCATTACGAACTTTTTCTACTCTCTAAAGCTGTCGACGTTCAAGTACTTTACCGTCTCGACTACGGTAGATACTTAGTATAAAATACACAAATTTATCCATAAATTACTCGTACGAGTAATATGCGAAACCATTGATTAATTTCTTCCTTATACAGGGTGTTCCATAATTACACGCTAATATTTATGGAGGTAAATCTTGGGCCTGTTTTAAGAAAAACACTACATATGAACATATGTCCTAAACTCAACCTATGAAATAAAATTTATTATTTTTTTAATTTTACCACAGCGGCTAATGTAGCGGAAGCGTACAAATAAATGCATTTATTTTTTTCATGCGAAACAATGAGTCAAAACCCGTACGAACTTGAATTCAAAACCCGTACGGACGCCACTGCTGAAAATAATAAATTTATTTACACATAAAAAAATTCATCTTGATTCATAGAAGACGTGTACCAAATTTAATAAAGATATCAACAATAATATCACAGTTATTACAAAAAATTGAATTTTTTCTTAAAACTTTAACACCCTGTATCTCAAAAGTTAACACGTTTAGGACACAGGTACATATGAGGTTTTTTCCTTATAATAGACCCATGAATCACTCCCTTAAATATTACCATGTCATTTTGGAACACCCTGTATAATGAATTATTACTACTTACATATAAGTTATATTTCTACAATTTCGATATACATATACCTATATATTTTATTTGACTATATATTTTGATATAAATCGGATTGCTTACTCGAGGACGGATTCAACGTTCACAATCTATACACAGCTAATACTTCTAGTAAATGAAGCGGAATAGGTATACTCGATTATAAATCATTTGGTTATATTTCTACTTATACATGAGCTGTTAAGTAGCATTATTGTAAAATACTGCCCGTTGGAAACGCCAGCATTCGCGTCGATTCGTTTATCCATTTTACCTCTGTTCCCTTTACTGGTTAATATGCTAATACACGGCAGCCAGTAAAATCAAATTACACAATCGAGTAGTGCATATCATTATTATAGATCAAGGGAAACAGGTAGCAAATGTTACCACATCATTTCGGTTAATAATTTTGAAGATGATGGATTTCATTAGCTTTAATAGAGGAAAATACTATAGTAGAATCTGAATAGTGTAACATAGTTTTCGTTAGCATTACATAACATTTGGTTTTCTTCCAGGCAATGTGTTCGTTATTGCCGCTATACTGCTGGAAAGAAATTTACAAAACGTCGCGAATTATCTGATAGTTTCCCTGGCAGTAGCCGATTTGATGGTGGCGTGCTTGGTAATGCCTCTGGGAGCCGTTTATGTGGTAAGTAAGATCGTTTTAGTGCTATTTCCTATTCTCATTGTTACTAGTTTTAAACTAAACTTACCAACGTATGAGTATTCTACTTTTTATTTTATCCTTTACACTGTAATTCCTTTATTGCAGTTTTAGTATTTTCTGTAAGTAGAATTGTTGCGCGTGCAATTCCCTCTACGTTTTTTTAAATCAAGGAACATGTCTAGGATAAGAGATTGAAAAGTTAAAATGTATTGCTTTGATTGGTTATCTATTTTAAAATATAATATGGTATAATTAAAAAGAAATACACACATACTTATTCAACTAATAATTTTCAAAAGGCGCTCACAGTAAATCATTCTGACTGTTGGCATTTAAAATTTGCTCAAAATTAATCTTTCCTATTACGCGATTATCGAAAGTTGCTATACTAAAATACCAATAAAAACGTTATTAGATATTTCATAGCCTGCTCATCCCCAAAAAAGATTGAATAATGAAATTAATTAGTAATATCGATTATATAGCTTCATCACATCAGCAGAAAATGTTTATTTCTATGCAAATTTTCGGATAAAAATTCTAGCTTTAATTAAATACCCTTAAAATAATACAGCCTTTTTTCGCAACATCAACGAAAAAGCTTGTTGTATCTGTGTAATAAGGGAAATTTGATTTTTTTTTAAACATAAAGAATCGCGGGCCATTTTCTACGTCGCTTACCATTCTATTGCCCTCCTCCTAAACCAAATAAAGAAAATCAACGACTCAACAGGAGAGAACTGCTAGGCAATATTTTTCTGGGGCAATGTGTGTGTGCGAAGTCTAAACAGATTTTCTAGCTGTTCAATTTTCACGGCTTAGATAGATAGCATTGTCGTCATTAATTTCTCACCGTATTAAATTCAACTCGATATTTTCTGCTAAACGAGTTCACGTCGAAGGTGCGCCGTGGAAAAATAAAAATAGAAAAGCATCTTCGAAGCTGTCGTTTCGCATTTTATAATGGACGTAGTTTTTCTCTGGAACTTTAAAATCAAATTTCCCAAAGGGTTTATTCTATTTTTTGCTGTGCAAACTTAACAGGCGATAAAGAAACTTAAATTATCGCTGTAAAAACCGCGGTTTTTTTCTTGTTTTCACACCGACCGATTAAAAAAATCATTTCGCCCGTGAAATAAAGTGAGCCGAACGTACGTACCTATACTCAAATATTTTTATTAAATTCCTCCGTTGCCGGCGTAATAAATCAAACGCAATTTGAACGTTTGAAAAAGCGCATTAGCGATATCTCCACTTTCGAATCTATTTCATATATGATCCATTTTTCGACGGAAATTGAACCCAACTCCGAATCGGTCTCCAGAAGAGATTCCCAAGAATAAACAAAAACCTAAAGCGAACATTAGATTCCGAAGGAGCGCGACGCAGAGGAAATCAGGTCGTCGGGACGTTAGAGTACGGCTAAATCGGAGGGTAAATGTACCTCATAAAATAAATGAAGGTTGAACCAACAATCTGAAAAATGTTCTTTAATTTAACACGCTGGGAATAGTGCGATGGTAAAACGACCCTGATGGCCTAAAAAGTACAAGACTAACTTATTTCTTCAATGGATTTTTTTATCATTAGCATTAGCACAAGAGATTTTCACAAAATAACTACTTTCTTAGGTGAATCATTTCTCACTATTAGAATGAAATTAGTACTCCAAGCGTACTAAACAATCAATACATCAAAATTCAAAATTCCTACTTCATAATTTCATCGAAATCTGTGAAGCGTCTTTACGTATTCCCTTAGTCCTTGTCTCTGAAACGACGACTCCCGGGCGACTTGCATAATTGAATTGTTAAGTTCTAACTACGTCAGAAAGATTTTAAATGTTACCGACTTAATTCTAATTCGAACTAAAAAGTGGGGAAAAAAGTTCCCATTGTTCAGAATCGGAGAATTAGAGAGGACGAAACTCCTTAATTCGTTTGAAGTTTAACGTGACATATAATTTTGTTTCTTCCTTCATTGACTTTGTTAAAATAGAAACCAGTGGACTTTTTTTGTTTCCTTTCTCTTCTTAGAATAAAGTTTTACTGGGGAAAAAACGAAAGGTAATTTAGCAGAACAATTGGGATGTTTAATTATATGTACTTTGTACAATGTGATTTAAAACCCAAAAAAAATGGTGTATTTATAACTAAATCTTCTTTAGAACCTATAGTAATTGCGTATTTAATTATTCGTTCAGTTAAATAGGAATATGCTATTAATTAATCTTATTTCTTCACAATTCTTTTGATACATTGTTTAACTTTATTGGCGTGCACAATGAAACTTGATAGAAAAGAGTGGATCAACATCCAATTTCATTAAAGATAAAGTAAATACTTATACACTGCGGTTAGCTCTTAATCCTTTTTCACTCAGAAGTAGGAAGAACAATTATAGACGATTGCAATTAACTTAATGCTTTATTAGCTGTAAAAGGGAGTTATATGTATGTGGTGTTCGAGCTCGCTCTAGTTCCTACACTTAACACTAAATTAATAGCTAGGGGTTTTATCCTAGATATAATATATTGTTCGTAAGAGGAGTTGTGTGCATTGTTTCGCAAAAATGAATAAAATATTTGAATTAATCTGCTCAGTTTTATTATCCGTTTATATTAAATTTGTACTTACAATCACTTAAAATTGAATTTTGTTCTTATAAAACTCTTTTGATTCCTCATGTTCTTGGTTCTAATTTATTGCGGATATTAAACTTTTATGGTATTTCCTTTTAATGTTGACCGGAGCATACACGGTCCATTTCATTTCTTTTCTAAATCCTAGATGAGTTATTTTATTTCGCAATAAATCAACTCGTAAATACAAAACGCCCAGTTGTTTGTTGTAGATTGCGTATTGGACGGGAATTAAGAGAATATAAACGTCGACCTTTTCATCAAAATGACAAAATAAATGTACGATAGTGTAGATGTGAAAGGCATCTACAAATTCCGGTTCCCGTTCGACGAAATATCGATGGAATATTTTTCCCGGGTTTGTTATTGTGCTTTAGTTATTTACGTAGGTATTATACCCACATTACATATTCGTGGTCTAATAAATATTATAGAGCATAACCTCAAAACAATTCTTATACAGATTGTTATACATTGTTATTGTTGTAACAATATTGTAACATTGGTATACACTTTCCTCTATTAACTCTAATGAATTTACCCTTTATTGTTAATGATGAACTGTTTGAATAATTCAAACGTATTCGTATTTGTATAGTGATAATAAAAAATCGAAGATATTTTTTTAAATTTCGAGTAAGTACATTTCATTTTCTCAAAATTCGTTTATTTCAAAAAATTGTCGCCTACCACTTTTGTATGCAGCAGCATGTTTTATATTCCAAGTGAAACTGGAAATCTCAGATCATCCAACCAATGAGCATATCTGGCGCTATAAAAGAAATACAACTTGGGCGAGGACGCTTTCATTTAAAATTTACATTTGAATTGAATTTAAAATACATATTATAAATCGTTTTTGCTGATAGTTTAATCGGCGCATTCTTTTGAAAATTCGGATTTCGCCGCTGTTCCCGCATTAATATATTTTTTTAAAAATATGGCAAAAATTATGTCGCTACGAAATATTGCTTCTGTTATATTAGACTGCAATTTATGCAAATTTTAAGCACTCTAGCCAGTTGTAATGGTTAAACTCACCGACTCCGAAACTGCAACTCATAAATATTAACAATTTTAACCCTGCTAAATTTTATTTAGTAAACTAGGAGACCCATATCATAAGTTCAATTTAAAATTCAAATTTCGCCGTTTAATCGGCGAATTTGTGAGTTTTCAACAACCTGCTGACTGGTCTTTCAATTTATATACTCATCCTCTGACACTTTTGCAGTTTAGATTATATCTTCTTAAATTTATTTTAAAAATTTACTCAATCAATTTTTGTTTGGCATTTTCTCTTTCATACCTACGTTTACTTACAACTAAAGTGTAACTTTCAAAAGTGTACTTAAGGTTATTCGATTAAAATGCTAGATTCTGTGGAAGTAATCTTACGGAAACCGGAATGCATTTGAATTTTAAAATTTTTGAATATCAATATTCTTAAACGATTCACCAAATTTAACGATACAATGGCTCTAATGAAGCTAAAGTTTTTAAATTTAAAGAATGAATATTTCCACAAAGAATTCCACAATCAGTATCAAGCTGCAGATAACAAAAGGATCTCTTATTCTTATTACCGTAATAGTACAGTCAAAAGTAAAAAAATGATAAAAGGCAAAATAAAAAAAATACAAAGAAAATTTAGTTATAAAACTGGTAAAAAATAATATAAATTCTTATGATACAAGATACATACATAGATAATAATAATTACTTAAGATGAAACTGTATAATAAGCAAACGAATATTTGCAAGTAGGTACTGAACTTAGTTTTAGTTTAATACAAACTGTAAATGCCACAAGAGTATTGCTTGTGTAATTTTCCTATTTACATACGCATACCTGCTACATTTTCCTCCGCATCCCATTCTGTGTAGCGACGAGAACAGTAGAATAGAAAATACAGAATAAAAAACAGTTTACGCCCGGTAGTTTGGAATTCTACGGTTCTCATTAAAAGCAGTTTTCGTGCTTGTAGAAACGGCACATCGAATTTTTTACCATGATTATGGCGAAATTTTCTTCGACTATCACGAACATAAATCAAAAGCGACGCGAGCGGAATCGCCTCAAAAAGTATTTTAAATTAAAATTGAACGTGTCAAAAAAACGTATCAGATAATAATTAGATGAGTTTTTCGATTTCGTGTTTCGGTGAATATTATGTGAGAGGAATATGCTTGTTCTTGGGAACGAATAAATATTTTTTCAATTTCACTTATAACGTATTTTCGACTAAAATATGAAATAAATTTTATACAGAGTAACTTTTAATTTGCTTCCTAAATGTGCTTTAAACCCCATGCGTTGGAAAGTAGCTGCAGTAAAAAG